TACTATTTTCTTAATTCTCTCAAGGATGGTACATAGCATACACTATTCTAGGTGGTTTGTGAGAATTTAATTCTTTACATATAATAGCTGCTTGAGGGCTTAATTCGCTCATGGAATCCCAGTTGAAAAGGGCTGATGGGATGTTTTTTAATTACAGTTTCACTTTCTTTATTAGCTAAAGGGATTTTCAGATTTTCTTTTCTCACATCAGTTTTAGTAAGTTGCATTTGTCACAGAATTTGTCCATATTGTATAAATTTTTGGCACAAATGTATTTATTACCTTGTCTTTTCATGTACCTATACGTACAGAAATATGTACACCTATTAATCAAACATTTTGTTTTAATTTATTAATCTTTGCTCTGCCACTTCCTCCCATTCACCCTTTTTTCTACTCTCTTTGAGGTTAGTTTATACAATTATTTTTCTACTTTTTTAGAAAACTGTTTCGTGATCTTCTTTCCCAGTATATGTATGTCTTGTTTCATTAAAACAAAAAACAACCTCAAACTCATTGCCACCGATTCGATTCTGGTTCACTGGCGCCCTGGTGGCATCATGGATTATGTGTTGGGCTCCTAACCACACGGTCAGCAGTTGGAAGCCAGCAGCTGCTTTGCAGGAGAAAGAGGAGACTTTGTACTCTCATACAGAGTTACAGTCGCAGTAACCCACAGGAGGCAGTTCTCTTCTATGGGGTCGCTATGAGGTGTCTCCTTAGGTACCATCCAGTCCGTTCTGACCCAGCAACCCTCTATATCATGCAACAGAACGAAACGCTGCCTGGTTTTGCACCATCCACACAATTGTTATGTTTGAGCCCCCTGTTGTAGCCACTGTGTTAATCCATCCAGTTTATGGCCTTCTTCTTTTTCACGGACCCTCTCCCAGGGATGATGTCCATTTCTAAAGACTGATCCCTCCTGATTACATGTCCAAAGAACCATTATTGTTTCTAACGAGCATTCTTGCTGCACTTGTTCCAAGACAGAATTGTTTGTTCTGGAAGTTCATGATGCCTTCGGTATTCTTCACCACCATTAAAATGCATTAGTTCTTTTCCAGTCAACCTTATTCAATATCCACCTTTTGCGTTCATATGAGGCAATTGACAATACCAAGTTCGGGTCACTCTGACTCACCTTAGTCCTCAAAGTGACGTATTTGCTCTTTAATACTTTAAAAAGGTCTTTTACAGCAAATTCACCATCTCCATGAGTGTTCCTTGTATACACATTTAGTACTGAAAAAATTTCCTTTGGACACTTTTGTTGGCTGCTTTTCACAGATATTAATCAAAGCAAAATAAAATATTGAATTGCCATTGAATAAAAACAGATTGCAATTATTATTTTTTGTTTGATGGAGAGGCTTCTTGTTTATTTGTTTTTTTTAAAGATACAGACTTAAATTACCAGAGAATTGGAGGTTTTATAGTATTATTGTACTGTTTTCAGAAAAGAGAGTACATGCTGCTTAATTACATGCAGTACTGAGACCTGCTTTATGCATGCTCATTTAAAAACAAAGAAAAAAAACATTCCATGTGTACTAGAGCTTGAATTCTGATCACTCGGATTTGCAAAGGGCTTTGGACAACAGCGACATCCCCAAATCCATTTGCAGCATCCCCATAGAGATCAAGCTTCCTTGAATTCTTTCTGATCATTAACCAAGGATGTATATAATCTTGTCTTCAGGCAGAATGCCTTGGAAAGTGAATTACCTCTACCTCTAAGGCCAGCCCAGGGAGGGGCAGTCTGTCCTAAGGGCTTTCTTTCCTGGGTTTATCTTTGATGGAGACCTCTGTCCTGGGAACAGTACAGGGGGCCACATGGTCATGAGTCTCACCCTGGCTGCCTTGGTGGGAAGGTCCTAGGCCAATCTTGTGAGCCCTTCTCTCCAACATAATGTA